TATTACGCATGGCACACAACTGTGAGATAAAATTCAGCTAACGAAATGACGTGGCTCCATCGTTTCTGAAGCATTACATAAGTAACAAAATGTTATTTAATATAAACTTCGTAGGGTGACTTAATGAATGCATTGGCTTGTAATCTTACATTAACAGAAAATGAATAATCAATCCCTGAAGATGTTAGTGTTATGAATAATCAAGAGTGGTCTCCCTTTGTTTTGTTACTCTCTTCTTTGAGATAGCTATTTCTGTTTACTGGAACTATAAAAGGACATATACGCGAAGCTTGTATTGTCAGTTGAATAAAGCTTTCTTAAACGCTACACCTGCGTACTTTTGTCATTACAATTAGTACATGCATTCACGATTTTTAATTAAAATTTGAAAAAAAAAAAACACTACCACCGATCAGACCCCGAACTACAGCCACTTACGATGAACGGATATCCCGTCAAGGAGGCACCATGACTTGAGGGTATACTGAGCCTCAAACTCACATCTGACCAGAAGGGGAACACTTATATACAATCCATCGCTAAAGATGTAGGTAAAACGATCACCCCCCACCCTGTACCGCTCCAGTAAGTACCTGACTCCTCATGCTATCTTCTAGCATTATAAGAACCAGCTGAGACCGAAAATGTAGTGCTGGTGAAATATTTTGGCGGGAGCTGCCTAGTTCTCACTTTCCAGAATTGATAGATTTCAAAAGCGACTCCGAGTCCTTGTTGAAGTACTATTTTTCAAACTCCAATCTCTCTCTCACACACATTCGGAATGTGACGAGTCTCTCACTTCTCTATCGTTACTTCAATGGTAAGTGCTCGGACGGAATATATAATATATTCCCAGCTATAATATTCAGGGCTAGGGCCCGCTTTGCTACTTACATGGTAGCAAATCACCCACATTCTCTCTGGATTCCCTCGACGAGAAGTTCTATCCACTCAAACAGCTTCTTCCCGGGAGTTACTGTTCTATGCAACAGATTATCAGGAAGACTTTTCCTCGATCACTAAAATCTTAACCTGTTCATGTCTAGTTAATCGTTATCTTACCCTCTATTACGAATTAATGTAAAAAAAAAAATACGTTTGATAATTTTTATGCATCTTATTAAATGAAGTAAAAAGATTATAATGTTATTTTACCAGTTCAGACATTTTCAACTGTAGCACTTTCTAACATTAACAAAACGTGATATCGCTTCGGATTAATGGTTAATTTTGGGTCAGTGAAATATCAGGTCATCCCATAAGTTCTATCCGAATTCTTTATTAGAAAACAAGTGACCAAATGTTACATTTAATTACAGATTCAATCAACAATGTATTTTCCCTGATTATCTATGACTTCGTTCCATCTATTAACAAGCTTACTAATTCCATTACTGTAAAATTCTTTTGGCTTTGATTCGAAGAACTCACAAATGTCAGTTTTAACCCCTTCCTGTGTTACAAAAGCTGTTTCTTCCAAATGATTCTGTAAGCTACGAAACAAATGGTAGTCTGAAGGAAAAAGATCGGGAGAATAAGATGGATGAGGAATTTTCTCCCAACCAAGTTCTTCGATCTTTTGTGACGTGATTCTTGCTGTGTGGGGTCACGCATTGTCCTGATGAAACATCACCTCTTTTCGATTCACTAGAGCAGGTCTTTTTTTCCTCAAAGCTTGGTTCAAACGCTCTAATTGCTGACAGTATATTTGTTGCATTAGGTGGTAAGAATTCAAAGTGGATTATTCCTTGGCGATCCTACCAGATTGAAAGAAGAACCTTTTGTCGATGAAGTTCCCTTCTCGGCTGTGACTGGGGTCCTTCCCCTTTACCAAGCCACTGTCTACGACGCTTAACATTTCGATAAAAGATCCATTTTTCTTTGCCAGTCATAAGTCTATCCAAATAAGGTGAAACAAGTTGGCGAGAATGGAGAGAAGAGCAGATGTCAACTCAGGATTTGAGGTTGTTTTCAGACAATTCATGAGACATCCATTTTCCATGTTTAGGTACTTTTCCAAGTTGTTGAAGATGACGATGAACAGTTGTATGGTTTGAACTGAGAACCATTGCCAATTCCTCAACTGATAAAGCAGGATTTTCTTCAAGAGCTGCTTCAAGAAGCTTTTCATCAAACTCAACTGGACGTCCGATTCGATCTTCATCTTCAATCCCGACCTCTGAATTTTGCAAACTATCTTCTGCAAGTTCTTCCATTCACACATTCCTCTCCATAAACTGAGTGAATGTTTCTTGCCGCTTCGTCTGCTAAGTTTTTTTTCTTGAACTCATAAAGAATTATGTGCCTAAAATGATTCTTGGGTACTTCCATGTTAGCAGGGTTTTAATCAAACAAAATTTAATTTTATTGTTCTCTGAAATAAATTTTGATCATTTTAAATTCATCTAAACATAAAAATAATGTTCAGCTCCATTAGACATTATAAAATACTCTTTAAATTTCGTTCATTTTAACAAAAAGTTAAAATTCGGACAGAACTTATGGGATGACCTGATACTTGTTTTTAGCGTTAAAGTAATGTCGGCACAACCTTATATTTGACCAAAAAATATACTGTAGGCAACCTTGCAAGAATATTCTATGTTTGTTGGGACTAAGATGGCCGTGCGAAATAAAAGAGAAATCAACAGAAATATAACGTGTAAATAAAGGAAACAGAAGAATGAAAAATAATTTTACAAATTAAGAACAACTGGCAAGACTTTCAATAAAGGAAACAGAGAGGGGTAACTAAAATATCGAATGATTAAAGGAAAGCACACCCATTTCGATAATGAAGGGCAAATTGGTGTGATGTTATGGTTAACGTGTTCGTCAGGTTGAACATTACCACCGAGTAGTGAGTTAGGTGATTATACAAAACGACGCTAATCGTAGTATACAAAATCTTACTTATATCTGTATTTTTGCAATAAACAAGTTATTCCATACACACTGATATTACATAAAATGGTAACAACCTGTTAAAGTATTTCAATTTAATGATGATTTTTTACATGTACCGGTAATGCCACCGTACTGCAGCAAAAGATCACACACACACATACACAGACATACACACCCACAAACACAAACAGACACCCGCTACACACGAAACATATAAACGTCCAAAGCTAAAAGATATAGATTCGTTAAATGGATAATTTATACCCTGCTCTATCAATGCGGTATCCGTGGCCAACTTGGTAAACGCACGTTTCGGCTACAGGAGAAATTTTTCGCCTGATCTTTTTTTGCGTATCGAGAAAATTCATCGAAAATAATTGTTCGAAAACAATTATTCAAAAAAACGTTTATTCGTATTGTAAATTGTTTGAATGAAAATTAATCGATAGGACAATTAAATGATAATTATTCGAAAGACGAAATTATTTGAAATACGTATGTGTTCTTGTTTTGAGAGAGTCAATGTAGATTTACATAGAACTAATAACACCCTTGAAGGATGGCACACGGCTTTTTTTGCAGCAAGTGTCAACTCTTCATCCCACAATATGGGACTTTTCGATGCTCTTAAAAGAGAACAGGACTTGCAAGAATTTCATATTGCAAAAGTAAGAGAAGGTTTTCAAAATATCAAGAGCGCCAATAAATACCGCGACATTAAACATTAAAGAAATTACTAGCATTCTTTAACGAGTACAGTAGTTGACTATTTGCGTGCATTATCATATAGTTTATCGTTATAAGGATTTTCCTTACTAAATTTTTTATTAACGATATTTGCATTTCGAATAATTATCATTTACTATAATTGTTCATTCGATTTATTTTCATTCAAAAAATTTACTGTCCGAAGAAAGTTTTTTCGAATAATTTTTTTCGAATAATTGTTTTCGAAGAATTATTTTCGAAGAATGTTCACATAATTCATTTTTGGATACAAAAGTGAGCAGGTATGAACTTTCGAGCATCCGAGAAGGATTTGCGATGAGGAGGCCCTGTTAGACCTGACTTAATCGGCAACAGAAGGACATCAGATTTAACGTGTCCTAGAAAAGGGGGCGCTCGTTTTTCTTTATTAAGATTTATCGAATATTTTACATGGTAGACTAAAATTAATATATAAAGAAACAGCTTAATAAATAAACGGAGTGTGTATTCAAATATAGGGATCCACTAATAATAATCGTCATCATCATAATAATAATAATAATTACATATATATATTAATAATAATTTATATAATATATATATATATATATATATATATATATATATATATATATATATATATGTCGGGGACGTTCCGTCCAGGTCAAAAGATAGATTTTCCTTCTGTTGCACAATATGTACTTAATTCAGCAAAATTGAGGAGGTTATGTATGGAATGCAAAATATATTATTTTTTGGCAAATTTACTACATAAATGTCACAAGCTGCCAAGTAATTACACACACACACACACACACACACACACACATATATATATATATATATATCTGTATCTCTCTCTCTCTCTCTCTCTATATATATATATATATATATATATATAGAGAGAGAGAGAGAGAGAGACAAATACTGCAGAGATAATCTTTGAACAATTTCGTCTAAATATTTATTTCGTAATATTAAATTCTCTTTCTTCTTTCGAGTTGTGTCTAGTTTTCGTTTTCCTTATTGTTTTCTCGTTCGGATAGAAAATTAATTATATATCCATTTCCCGCAGTGAGTCACTTCCGGTAGAGTTATAGAGAAGCCCGTCAACTACACTGATCTGCCCTTGGTCGCCTAGCAAAGCGTCAATTGTTTAGATCCAAGAAGGCATAAAAGTAATGAGGATTACAGGGAAAAGCGATAAAAGTCGACGGTCAGGATTGTTGGTCGGCAAAGCCATTGATGTTTTAAGGTTGCTTCGTTGATGCTGACATTACCAAAGTGAAGAACGGGGAAGAGATAACATCGAAAAACGGTACACAGAAATAATTATGAATTTTCAAATTTAAAAAAGAAAAAAAAAGCGTATGAGATTAACCAAAATGCTAATCATCCTGGTGATGGGTGAGATGACGTCATCAATGAAATTAACATTTTTTTGGAAGGGAAAGTATATAAGAAAGTGAAAATGAGTCCACTAGATATTATTTATTATTTCCAAACGAGAATATGCCGAAACCGAAACCTGACAGTGTTTGAGGACACAAGTGCGTTTAGGTGAAGTAAAAAGTGAAACTGATTTAAAAATCTATCTATCTATCTATCTATCTATCTATCTATCTATCTATCATACACGATTCAAATCTATCGTCCTCAATTCCCATCTATCTATCTATCTATCTATCTATCTATCTATCTATCATACACTATTCAAATCTATCTTCCTCAATTCCAATCTATCTATCTATCTATCTATCTATCTATCATACACTATTCAAATCTATCTTCCTCAATTCCCATCTATCTATCTATCTATCTATCTATCTATCTATCTATCTATCTATCTATCTATCATACACTATTCAAATCTATCTTCCTCAATTCCCATCTATCTATCTATCATACACTATTCAAATATATCTTCCTCAATTCCCATCTATGTATCTATCATACACTATTCAAATCTATTTTACTCAATTCCCATCTATCTATCTATCTATCTATCTATCTATCTATCTATCTATCTATATATATATATATATATCTATCTATCTATCTATCATACTCTATTCAAATCTATCTTCCTCAATTCCCATCTATCTATCATACACTATTCAATTCTATTTTACTCAGTTCATATCTATTTTAATCTATCTTACACAGTTCAATTCTATCTTCGTCAGTTCACATCTATGTATGTATGTATCTATCTTACACTATTTAAATCTATCTTCCTAAGTTCACATCTATCTATCTATCTATCTATCTATCTATCTATCTATCTTACACTATTCAAATCTACCTTCCTCAGTTCATATCTATCTATCTATCTATCTATCTATCTATCTATCTATCTATCTATCTATCAACCCTTTCATCAACACTGTTCGGGTCATTTACAGCCACAATATATTTTCGATTTTAAGGATTTTTTGGGTGATAATAATGATTTTTTGATACAAGTCATACTAATTAATACATAGCTGGGGAGAGAAGAAGTGGATTCATAGCATTCTAAAGTGTATTTGCGCGTAAGTAAATATAACGAATCCGAGCCGTTGTCCATTATACCACCCGCACATCTAAGCTTACTGCACCTCGTTTTCCATAGCGGTCAACCATCTAGCCACTGACCACTTTCGAGGTTACTTAACTTCGGTGTTCGTACGAGAAACTGTGTTCCAATATGTATTTTGATGTCAACGAATACTCGTTAATTTCGTAATGCAGGTTGTAGTAGAGACTTGTAATCGCAGATACAACTATCGTAACGCCGTTGAACAATACTGGTGTTAGACGCATTCGAATATTACTCGAACTAATAGTACTCGCACGATAATACTCGCGTGAACAGTAACCACTGTATAGTGATCCGACTAGAGATATAGTATAGTGAATAGAGTAGAGAATAGCGGTCCGTATAGTAATAGAGGATAGACTAGAAATGGTGATCCGAATAGTAATATAGGATAGACGAGAAATGCAGATCAACAAAACGTCACGTGACTTCCTACTTATGCGTTTCCTCTAGGGTAACGTGGTCTACTTAATACAATAATGGGATCGCCTGTGTTTGCACACTGGTGATCTATGTTCAAACTCAAGTGTCGGCGGCAACACTTTGTTAATATATAACAATGTAATTTAGCCGTAAACCTGTTAACAGATGTGGCTTCGGATTTGTTTATTAATAATGAAAGAGACGTTGTAAAATGTAGATGTAATATAGATATTATTTCATCACTGATGGCTTATTTAATGTACCTAAGTGTTCGTTTTTAACGTAAAAACGTTAGCAATCGAATATTGAGGATTATACAGTATATTTAAAAGCAGCTGTGAGTTTAAATTTTAACACTTTTTGAAATGAAAATTGTCTTGAACGGCCAGATTTCTAGAACTTCTTACATTAATATAGGCGTCTCCAAGGGTTCTATCCTTCGACATACTTTGTTCCTTACTAACACTTATACCATATCAAGGAGCTCATAATTATATTCTTACGTAGCTTAGATATGGGACAAAGCCGAAATAGTAAGGCAACCAGTGAGGATCAAACTCATTACTCAGTTGTACATTATTTACATTATTCGGACTATTGTCCTCATCTTTGTCGCCACATTTATCACAACGTTTCGGCCTTTGTACACTCCGGCCTTCTTCAGGTTGTTGGAATTTCCAACTGAACCCTTTATTTCGCTCACTGGGGTAGACTGTTCTAGTTTCACGTGCCATGTCTGATGGATGTCAGTTATCAGTTATCTCCTGCTAATTTCCCTCCGAAAATTCTCCACTGCCTTAACCGGGTATTGAACTCACACTCTTTGGGTCCTAACACTGGATCTAACTAACGCCTTTATCCACTGTGCCATGTGTCCTTGAGGACTCAGTTGTAATTGATCTAGCATGACACGTTTGCTAAACATTACAACACGTTGCAGAGCCATTCTTAAACTCATAATACAGATTGTTGGATTGATTTGTTTTTTACGGCTTATCAACCTTCTGCAGGATATTTAAAGCCAGTTAATATTTTTAGATTATGCGAATGTTTTTATTTTTTGAGATGATAATGATTTTAAGCTACATGACCTACGAATTAACCCATAGCTGGGAGGAAAATGTGAATGTTTACCTTTCCCAAAGACATTTGCGCCTAAGTGATTGTAACAAACCCGACTGGAATTGGAACTCGACTCATCAATTTTCAATCCCTAGCCGTTGCTTAACTTCGGTGATCTTATAAAAAAACGTTTTTTTCAAAGTGATTTGGCCTTAAGCCCAATAAGGAAAGAGGGCTTGGGCAATTTATCAGTCACAAGACATATTTCAAGCAATATGGCAGCATGTAAACTGTACCACAAGTTTATGTAAATAAATCATAGTATAGGGACTGAAAGGATAGTAAATGGGTTGATTTTATTTGTTTTAGAAGCATAGTGGATACAACATTTTGAAAAATCTATGATCGCCAACGTCCTGATGGGAAATGCTATATAAAATGAAACATATATCGGGAAACGTTACAATGATCTGCAAAATGTTTAATTCAAAAATTAATGGCGTGTTTACTCTTCACACGAAGTCAAAATTACTGTAGGTGTAGATTGAGTAATAAAACACTAACCAGATACTTGTGTAAGTATTGCTTTGACCCCATAAAATGTTTATTAAAGCCAGACTGAGCCAATCAAACAAAAGAGGATTATTCATTGAAACAAACAAATGACATGCATCAGGAGCTAAACTCCTTGAAGGGTATCGAAATTAATCAATCTTTTGTCTTATATTGCTTTTTTTATATTGCTTTTTTTAATTTTCGTTCCATATCATTCTTTCTGGGATTTTTTTTTTATTGCATTTGTACTTCTTTCTCTTGTTTTGGCTGGTGTGCAGAGAGCATGGACACCTTTGTTCTTTATAAATGTATCTTTGTGTGGAAAGAAAAAAAAGAGATCATATCCATTGTTTTTCAGACATCTTTATCGTTCTCACTTTTTGATTCCTTCTCTCTTGTTCATTCTTCCCTCTCGCTCTCACTCACTTTCTTACTCCGTAATACTGACTCACACACTCACTCACTCACTCGATCGTTATATCAAACAATCAATCAATCGATAAATAAATCAATTAATCTCTTACTTGCTATCTTTCGTTCAGCTATTACCATTTCTTTATTGTTCCCCTTTGTTTATGAACAACGTTATTTTCTGGTCAAGGTTTTAAAGGAGACAAACGGAAAGCGATTATAAGCTTTGAAAATAACATCTGAAAATTAAATAAATAAACCTAAGCGGAAAAAAAAAATGTTTAAACAGATAACCCGGATGTACGTTTGCTCATTGTAGCACATATCGTAAGTTGCAGATGAAGAAGCATACATTTTGTTTTGTTTACCTATTGTTACACGAAAGACTTGAATTGAACAAATAGATAAACGCATACCTTAATAAAGTTGTAATTAAGTCTGACTTGGGTACATATATATTTCCATAAATGCATTTATCTATAAAATTTTATATCGCTCCAAACCAAAGAGATTTACACAACTATACAAATACAAGCTATTTTACTTGGCAGAGAACAATCCTTCCGTCAAAAGCGGAATATGTAGTCACATATATATGTGTGTGTGTGTGTGTGTGTGTGTGTGTGTTTGTGTTTTTGTGTGTGTGCCTATGCGCGCGTGTGTATATATATATATATATATATATATATATATATATATATATATATATATATTAGACATCTAAATTACTATCAAGCATTAAAATCTATTCTTTACATAAATTGCTAAAACCCAGTTACAGCCTCTTTCTCTTTACTTCCCCCTCCCCTTTTTCTTTTTCCTTTTTCTTTTTTCTTTTCTCTCTTCTCCCCTCCCATTTCAATATATCACTCCCGTTAAGTTAACCGTCTAAATAGGTCATGGTCTGATCACTCCTCCTCTCCCAACACTAAGTATGATTGAGAGAGATATGAAATTAATCCCCCCCTATACTCTACAATGTCTCTTTAACTACTCTTTTTACACTCTCTGTTAAATTACAAAAACGTACACTACCCATCAATTTTAATTTCATTTTCTTTTCATTTTTGGAAGTGCTATCTGATGATCCGGCGTTCTTTATAAGGGCTCTGGTGAAATAAATTATTATAATGGTAACTTAAAGTGGTCTGTTGTTCTTTAATATATAAATATATATATATACTGTTCGTTATGGAGTCTAGGGTATGACAATAAACTATATACGACAGCAAAGCGTCTTATCGGGAAGAATTGAGGAACCACAACTTGAGTTTATGTTTTTCTCTGCTCCACCCTGACCCAGAGTAGTAGCACCTGTTAGGGGTCCCAGCTACGGAGAAATAAATCGCTAAACTGTGGTCAAAACACTATGAAAGTATAAAAAATAGATTTTTATAGTAAAAATACCAGTAATATATTTTATTAGTAAAAAATCATACCAACAATACATTTTTATAAAAAAAAAATACTAGCAACAAATTTTGAAAAAGCAGAAATACATTTTTGTAAAAGGAATGTCTGATGTTCCTAAGTATATTACATTTCAGCATTAAATGACCCATACGGTGTTGATATGCCGTTATACAAACAAACAGACTGTTCGTTATGCAGCCGAATACCAGCGCCATCTTCACCTCCTTGATTCGAATGATCCAGTCAGCGTTGATTCTCTTTATACATTCGAGTAACATCATCACAAAACAGAAATGCTAAAATTAGCCAACGCCACAAGCGTTGAAACAAAGAAGCTCATCTGTGTTGGGCATGCCGTGTGGAAATGATTGAAACTACTCTCTCGCCGGAAAGCCGAGGGGTGTCAGAGAAGAGTTACTGAGACTCCTTACAAATGACCCTCATCTCATGCGAAATCGACTTTAGCCAACGAACAACAAAGGCTGTCAACAGAGAGATACGACGATATGTGGCCTGTCAGGCTATCTTCTCAATATGAAGCAAGGGCTCAGAGCTAGAGACTTGGGAAAACGACATCTACGTAGAACCGGAGATCACTTAGCCGGGAATTTTTTCTCCCGTAGTGACACTGGAAAAATACTAACTTGCTTCGTGCTGGCTTCGTTCGCCATCGGCGGACCCCCAATAGCCGACATTTTTCGTTTGAGATGCCGTGCCAAAATACGCACTCACACACCCACACATAGAAATGGATCTATCTATCTATCTATCTATCTATCTATCTATCTATCTATCTATCTATCTATCTAAACTAGAAATGTATTTCTTTTATGTGCCGTATCATTTCAGAACGTGGGCGATCATGGCCATGTACTTCATACTTTTCCTTGTAGCGCTCAATATAACGAGGGGATATATATATATATATATATATGCCAATTTTTATATTATTTATGTTATATATATATACACACACACACACATATATATATGTATATATATATATATATATATATATATATATATATATATATATATATATATGCCATTTTTTATATTATTTATGTTATATATGCGCTGTACTTATTGGGAAGCGCTCAATATCAGTGATAGACCTAATATATTTATTTGGATTAATGTGAGTATTTGCGATCATCAGTCAATCCAAGTAAATATATATATATATATATATATATATATATATATATATATATATATATATATATATATATATATATATATATATATATATATATATATATATATATATATGTGTGTGTGTGTGTGTGTGTGTGTGTGTGTATTCTTAGGTCTATTTGAATATCAAATCATTTATTTATGCTCTCTTAATTGAGCCCCACAAATAAGCACACACACATGTACACACAAAAAAACACACACATATATATGAATATAAAATATGTTTGTGCGTTTAAAATCTCAGATATAACAAAAAATAAAACCATAAAAAGGTGAATATGCATAAATCAAAAAGAAAAAAAAATCTTTGGCGAGTTATTTCGTTTTCCGATGGATATTATGTAGACAAATGCGCAAATTTGACATCATAAATTAAAAATGTGACATTTGCCATGGAAAAGTCTATCAGAGAACGAAACGATTCGACTACCTTTTTTCCTAGGGAGCTCAACCGGATTTCCAGGAGCATACATACATACTTATATATATATATATATATATATATATATGAAAACAAACATACTGCCAATTTCATAATTACATCTATTCGTGAAGTGCCACACTGGATATACGCCTTGGACGTTATTATTTCTTTCAATTCCTGACTGACTAGACTGAAGATTTTTCCGCGGTATCCTACCCTTTTCTTCTGCGGTAGATTGGATGCCAACCAATTCTATAGGGCCAAGTCTGTCCTGCAATTCAACGGTTTTTAGGATAATTGAATTCATCCCTTTATCACGGATATTTTTGTGTAAGTACCACACCTGACTGCAATTCGAACACTGCTCTCCGGGTTCTCATTCCGTGCCCTTATCGATTAAACCACGACGAGCATAACCGACCAATGCACCTCCAATAATAATAATAATAACAATAATAACAACAACAACAACACTTTGCTAATAAATAATGCTAATTTACTTGTCTTTGTAAGACTGTATCTCTTTTGACAATAAAATTCCCAACATATTTTGGTCATATCACTTTTCTCTCGGGGAAATTACACTAAACAGTTTGGTAAAAGTTCCGTCTATAAATACTGAACGCTGATTCTAATTACCGTCAGATTATGACCGACAATAAAACAGAACTTGGCCAATCCAATTGCAAAACAGGGTTAAACCCATTGGAGACTCACTACTTCAAACTGGCCAATCAACAATCAATAAAATGTGTTCGTAATTCGCGAATCTATTAACATTCATTTGAATTGCAAGGTCTTTTAGTTACGTGTCGCTAAAATGGCAATGAATGTTGGGCAATTTCCCCAGGGATGAGTGAAAAAACTAGAGGCAAGAGAAATGTGGTTCTATAGAAGAATACTGAAAACTCCATACACGAAGCGAATAAGCAAAAAGAAGATTTAAAGAAGATGGTAACATAAAGAACACTTATACTCAAAATCAGTAAAAGCCAGTTAAAATGACTTAGAAGTCTAATGAAGAAGGAGTGTTTGGAAAACTTATCCATGACGGGGTCTATTGAGGCCAAGAGAAATAGAGTAAGGCCACGAGTCAGTTACCTGACGACCTTGTGTGAACGGATAGCGGGACTTTAATAAAGGGAGAAAAACTGCTAAGAAGCACATGATACAGAAATTTGTGGAGAGCCATGGTCGGGTATGTTCCGAAGAAGAAAAAGAAGAAAGTATAATCCTTCATACCACCTCTGCGTATAAACACATGTTCATTTGAAACACCGCAATGTCACACCCACACGCACGCACGCACACTCGTTTCACATAAAAACATTTTTACGGCAGCTTAAACATTTTCTCCTGAATAAATGGTAACATGAAGAGTTCTATCAAATTGCTTCTTTGCTTCGATGTTCAGTCTACTACAAATGGCAAAGGATCCACTAAAACCATCAAAGAAAAATCTGGATCTATCTGTCACTCACACAGAGTATATATATATATATATATATATATATATATATATATATATATATATATATATGTGTGTGTGTGTGTGTGTGTGTGTGTGTGTAATTCTATTTAAAACGTTATTATCGTGGACACTCATATTTGAAATAAACGTCACATTTTATATTAAACAGTGTACATTACACCTATCGGCTTGTATATTAAAGAAAAATAAATTAAGAAAATTAAGGTCAAACCTGCGTCCACCTTTGTGGGAGAATACGCCGTTTGACCGGGTGATTTACCACTCAGCTACAAAGAGCGCCAGTAATTCTCTATATCCCCTTTTTAAAGAAAGCAAATTTATTAATTCTCATTATAAAATATAGGGAGTCTATTTGAAATACGAGTATCCATTCTAATAAAGTTTTTTGTGACATACGGTGGCCGTTAAATAATTAAGTATAACTCAAGACTTTAATGTTAATGCAAAACAGTATTTAATTACAACTGTAAGTAAATATTTAACAAAAACAGTAAAGTAAAAGTCAACCAAAGATAATTAACCATTTCAGTGAATACCATTTTATTAGCGTGTCTCGGCTTAACAACCGGTAAATTCTAAATAAAAACCCAAATCATCGATGAACAAAAATTCACACTAATTCGACTGGATAGTTCCAATCTATAATCACTTCATATAGTAGCTTGACAACGCTATTTATACACCTGACCGGGAACATATATTCATAAGTCAAAAGTTTCACGCTTGAACCTTGGTGTCGATAGTTACTCATTTTCTTCTTATATGACACGTTTGAAGTAATAAATATAAATAAATCCATTTATTCTTTAGATGTTGCTTTGTTTACGTTTCGGATATGATATGATGAAAATATGGACTCTCCAGAAAGAAATGCGAGTGACGAGGATGTGCTCTTTTATATAGAGTAAAAAGAGCTTTGCTTACTGTGAAGTCATTCGTGGTCGATTGGTAAAGCATACTGGATCAAGCGATTGTTTAATTCGCAATGCTTTACCGCTGGGTAATATCAACAGATGTTGACTTTCGAGAAAAATAGTTTTAATGAGGACGCTTGACATGCGGCAAATAATACAATTTTCTGTCGTCTTTCAAACGTATCGAGGGCATTATATCATACTGGGTCGACTACCTAAGAGTTTTGTACTGAATATGCATATGAAAATCCGAGTTGATGTTGGTCATTGTAGACATATTTATTATGGATATTAAAGTAATAATAATAATAATAATAATAATAATAATAATATATTCATTACAATTTTTTCTATTTTAATCGAATTCACCCTATGCAAGGCAGTAAAGCCAAATAGACAAGGAGGTTAGTAGATAGCGATTGACACTGCGTTTAAATATTTGAAGATTAAACTTTCCTAGAAAGCATGGACTCGGAAGGTAATACCACAAGCGAGAATTGCAAGAAAAGAAAGTGTTAGCATAGACTTTACGGTTACATCTAGCCAATTGTTATGGAGTAGTTTCACAGTAGAGGCTTGTATTTGTACTAAGTCGGTCATAAAATAGGTTCGACGTACAAAACGTTAGAAACTTCATGTAATAGGTATGACGCAGAGAAATCTAGTCGTGGTCGCTGATACTTTAGTATCCGACTAACGGTCTCCCGGCATCGACTGACTGGCCAACTCACTGAGCGACTTACTCGTTACTCAGACTCTCCCACCTATAATAAGTAGCAGTAGTAAATTAACTATAGAATAGGTGTGTTCCACTATAACACCAACTCATCTGTAAAGTGATGAGATCTAGTTGCCAGTCTAACACTGCGATTAAATTCCAAAGGTCTAGACACAATTACAAAAAGCTCATCTGAACAATTACCATCAAAACATTTACAGAAAAGTCACTAGTTGGCAACCATATGTCGTTGGGAAAGTGATTTAAGCCGAGAGGACAGATCCGGGCCAGTGATATTGCTGATTCTTTGGATTTTATCAAGGAACTCTAGCAGAAGTACCAGGGGGTTGTGGTAGCAATATTCTAAGCATGGGATTAATCGTAGACTTATAGATACGGCAGATAGATTCTGGAGAGACAAATTGTCTGGCACGACACAGTGAACGAACTTTCTTAGTAGATAACCTAGCAATGCATTCAATATAGTCTTTCCTTTCCACAGCCGAGAATATTAGCCCGGGAAGGTGCAACGACTTACTCTTCTAGTTGTCAGCACCACCCCTACCGATAGAAGGCAGAGAGGTGTCTTTCAAATTTTCGTTTTTATTTTTTTTTCTCTCTCTCAAGTCAGTCAAGGTAACAGATCTACTAACATCCAGTGCGATACTGAGTGTGAAAGAATATGTGAAAAGCGTTATTAAAGAGCGAGAACAATAACAATATAAGAGGAGAGAATATAACGATTGACATTGCATTTATAATTTTGAAGATGAAACTTGACTGGAGAGCAAGAAGCGCAAAGAGATTTCCATAAGTGAGATATGCGAAAGAGGAAACATATAGCATAGAATTTACGGTTACATCTCGCCATTTCGACTGTAAAATCATGAGATCTTGCCGCCAATCTAGTAATGTTCTTATATTTCATAGAGCTTAGCTACCATAGAGGGGAGTTCATCAGAACATTTACCAGAAAATTATTTATAGAAAATGCATAGGAAATCTACATTATTGTTGTGACTTTGTTAGTGTTAGAAATAAAGACACAAAGAGAGGAACTGA